GAAGGAAGGCATATGGTTACGATGAAGGCATTTCTAGCATTGGCACCTCAACTATAGAACCTCCTGAGAGTGGCTCATCTGGAACTTTCTTTAGTTTTGCAGCACAAAGTAAAAATAATGTTCTTTACTTCCTCTTTTAAGCAGTTTTTAATTAGGGTTATACCTTTTATGCTGCTTCTATGCAAAAATGTTTTTCACTATACTTTGGGCTGGATTCAACTAAGTAATTGTGCAAACAGGAGTCAGCACAAATCACACTAGCACAACGGGCCTTTCATCCCCCTAGTGTGTCCCCTCATAGGTAAAGGTACTCCTGACCGTTAGGTCCAGTCGCGGATGACTCTGGGGTTACGCGCTCATCTCGCTCTATAGGCTGAGGGAGCCGGCGTTTGTCCGCAGACAGCTTCTGGGTCATGTGGCCAGCATGACTAAGCCGCTTCTGGCAAACCAGAGCAGCGCACAGAAATGTCGTTTACCTTCCTGCCGGAGTGGTACCTATTTATCTACCTGCACTTGACATGATTTGAACTGCTAGGTGGGCAGGAGCAGGGACAGAGCAACAGGAGCTCACCCCGTCGCAGGGATTCAAACCGCTGACCTTCTGATTGGCAAGCCCTAGGCTCAGTAGTTTAGACCACAGTGCCACCCGCGTCCCGTGTCCAATCATGCCCACCCTCAAATCAGCTGGGGGGGGGTTTCAAGAGAACCCTCGAAGCAGCACATGGGGGGAGAAGGGGGGAGATCTTTCTGTCTGGCAAGCATAAATGGCACTGTTCTGCTGACGGAACAATCACATTAGGTTATTGAATTCCTCTCTGTTTTTGATATTTTGTTGTAAGTCATTTGGGATTTTTTTATTGATGGACAGTTATATTAATCTAATAAATTATTATATTGTGAACACATCTTTCCTATATTGCGTGTAGTGGTCTGCTAAGTACATACTGTGACAAATAATTACTGTAACCACCCCAAGCCCTTAGGGCAGTCATGGTTATAATTCAGGATGATTATTTAATTAACCAATTACAGGATGGAGCACAGATAAAATAGGTTCCTCAAAATAGAATTGTATCGCCTATCATGGACAGTACAGTTCTGGGGCGGGGTGATTAGATACAGTATAACAGAGATATGTGAGACTGCATTTCCACAACTATTCATTTTACAGTGGTACCTCGGGTTACAGACGCTTCAGGTTACAGACTCCGCTAACCCAGAAATAGTACCTCGAGTTAAGAACTTTGCTTCAGGATGAGAACAGAAATTGTGCAGTGGCGGCGCGGCGGCAGCGGGAGGCCCCATTAGCTAAAGTGGTACCTCAGGTTAAGAACAGTTTCAGGTTAAGACCAGACCTCCAGAACGAATTAAGTTCTTAACCTGAGGTGCCACTGTACTCCAGTTCCCACAGAAAAAATACTGGAAAGCTCTATATTCCATGTAGCGGAATTGGGAAAGCTTTGGCCCTCCAAAATTGTTTAACTACAATTCCCATTCAGCCTTGACTATTGCCATGCTGGCTGGGGCTGATGGGGGATATAGTCCAGCAACATCCAGAGGACTGTTCCACATGCATGTCACACAGGCAGCAGTGGATGGTGTGCTGGGGTTGCACCATTCACCTGACCTCTGTCTGGCTGAGTCACTACAGCAAAATGGAACAGAGGGGTGTGGCAAATGTGTCCATGCTTCTGCTGGCACATTTCCATCACACAACCTTGCAACATACTCTCTCTCTTCTCTTCTCTTCTCTTGGTCCTGGTATGCTGCAGCAACTCAACAGGAAAGAGGGAATATGAATGGCAGAGCTCTGCCACACTGCTGCATATAGGAAAGGTGGGTGCATTCAGACTTTCAGAAAAAACAAACAAAAAAACTTCATAGATTACTAAAAATATCCAGGTTTAATTAATTTAAACAACTAATGGCATGCTGGCTTTTAATTATCTATTTTAAAATTTCATTATGCTAATAAAGTTACTACATAAATAAGTGATCAGATCAGAAGTGATGACTAAATACCTTGGGCACAATTCAGATTTTATTTTATTTTTAAGTTTTATATTCTCTTACAGCTTTTCTCATTAAGCCGATAAGGCATATATAATATTTGTCTGACACCAAAGAAATCCAACAGCAGGAAAAGGAACATTTTTTTCTTGGGAGAGCTACAATAAAACCTGATAAGAAGCTTGCTGGCCTTTTCCTCCTCACAGAAGTACATACCTCTTAACAAGAGACACCTCATTTACTGAACAAACCTTTCCATTAGCAGCAACTACATATACATACACACACACATTCTTATGTAGAACAGAACACTTAACTTAAACCTTTCCGTGTAAATGTGATGAGTAGCTTAGGAAGCAAGATCTAAAGGTTCTGACATGAATAAATCTCAATCAAAAACTGACACAGATATTCCATTGTTATGAAAGGCAAGATTCCAACATGAAATACATGTGCCTATTTTATTTTATGTCTTACTAGAGCTACTGTGCCTTTCCAGTGTTCGTACAACAGTGAAGTAGCCCAATACCCCTATAAGCTGGCAGATAAAGAACTAGCCACACAGATAGCCACTTTAATTTGCAGTTAACCAACTTTAATTTGTGACGCAAAGAGCATAGTTATGTGTTAATAAGCTGGTAGTTTAAGTGTATTTGCTGCCTCCTGAACAGGGGATTATCAAACCCTGATCAATGTGCCTCCAACTTCTGAGATGAGGTGGGGGTTGCTTTATACCCTGCCATAAGTGCAAGTCTTTGGGGTGGAAGTTGTGGACCCTACTCAGCAGAATGAGCAGAATGAGCTTGCCGGCACCCAGAAGCTTGGGGCGCTCAGCACGCCCCAAGCTTCGGGTTTTGCGCAGTCCTCCACTAACCGTGGGAGAGCTGCGCTTCCCCCGCCCCAGCCCCGCACCTGGGGGGGGAAATATATTTTTTCTTTATTTCCCCCCAAAAAACTAGGTGCGTCCTATGGGCCGGTGCGTCCTATGGGGCGAAAAATACGGTAATTCATTCCGGAGGTCCGTTCTTAACCTGAAGCACCACTTTAGCTAATGGGGCCTCCTGCTAGCGTTGCACCGCCACTGCGCAATTTCTGTTCTCATCCTGAACAAAGTTCTTAACCCGAGGTACTATTTCTGGCTTAGCGGAGTCTGTAACCTGAAGTGTATGTAACCTGAAGCATATGTAACCCGAGGTACCACTGTAAAAAGAAATAACCAGTGACTGAATTTGGGGTGATGCAGAATGTACCCAGTTAAATTTTGCTTGCTCTGATATGATGTTGATAAGCTTTCATCATACCTAGCGTCTAAAACAAATGGAATGTCCCCCATTCACTACTGGCCTTGACCCTGCCCACTACGGGTATGAAACTTTATATGAAAAAGGTTTTCCCACCTCTGGTCTAAACGATCACTACTTTGGGATCAAGGACTTTTTTTATTTCCCCTTGCCCCTATTGTGCAAGGTTTAGTATACTTGTATGAAAAGTTCTGTTTGCTGATGGCAGTAAATCCAGCAAATGAAGGATATTTTTGTTCAGAAATTAGTCAATGGGTTTTAAATGCACATTCTGAATGTTGATAAATTAAGCTCGTTTTCCTGAATGATGCAACTGACTATTTCTGCTAGTGATCCTTCAAGGTATCATTGTTTCATAATGAAGTCTTGTGTCTCTCATGAACAACTGATAAATACAGTAAAACTGTGTTGCAGCTTAAATAACAGAATGAAATCTAGTGGTTTACAATATAATGTTGGTATGATTTCCTACCAGCTATGGAAAAATATTTCCAGGTTTTCTCTAGTGCCTGACCTACAGAATTTCACAGCACTATTCCCATTCAGTCCTTGCTGTGCAAAATCATGCTACCCATTCCTCAGAGTCCCCATGTTCCTACTTTCCAGCATTTTCTTCCATTGATACCTCCTATTCCAAGCGACATACACACTCTGCTCTCTGAGGCTGACGCTCCTAATCTTTATTGATTCGACATCATCATCCCTGCTGCTCCTATTCTCACTCCTACAGCTCACAACCCCAGGTTTCCCTCCTTTTTATGGATTCCAATTTTCTATTACCTAAAAAAAAAAAAAAGCCCCCTTCCCTACAAACACAGAAACTATCTTACAGGTATCCCATTTCAGACATGCAACTAGTGTATCCCTTAAAGGCAGCAGGCGTGTGTGTGTGGTAATTTGACAACTACTAAAGTAAGGGCACCCAGGATCCAGGACTCCAACTAACTCCCATAGGATTATCAACCCAGAGATGGTTTGCCACCTCCTCCCTGCGCTTTTAACAGCTATAGTGGCATATCCAACTCCCAAGAGACTGCGATCTACTCCCAGTATTTAAAAAAACAAAACTGGCAGTGATCTACCATTGTCATTGGAGGCAGGAGGAGCGTGCGTGGGGTGGGTGGATTGCCCAGAGTTGTTGAGTTTTTTGGGGGGAGGATTGCACAGAGTTTTTTAGTTTCCTCCCCCCGTAACTTTTTGTGCACGATGAGTGAGGATCCCGCGATCTACCAGGATCAGCCGGGAATCCACCAACAGGCAGCTTCCCTTTTCACTGAAACTCCATATGCTGAGAAAAATCTGCATCCTTGACTTTCTCTGCAGGTATTGCTAGTGCGGGGAACCTTACCAAAAAAACAACAACAACCCTATTCTACCTCCTCCCCGTGGGATCAAATCCTACGGCAGGTGCTCCGTTTAAGGAGGCGGCCTCGGAGCCAAGTGGTAATGAAAAATCAGAAGACATGTTTCATGTCTGAGGGGGAAGGGGGGGAACGCACTCTGTGCATGCTCAGAGGCATTTTTTATTTTTAATATTGTTTCAAACGCTGTTGAGTCGTGGCTGAAACAAATGTCGCCCTCCTCATCCCTCACTCCCACCCCCTGCCCGCTCCGGCTTCGACGAGGTCCTCTCACCCCTCTTCCCTTCCTTCTCAGCCTTCCCGTCCGCTCCGCTACTTTTCTCCTCACCTCCGCCGGCCTCCATGAGCAGCGGCCGGTTGAGATTCCTCCCGCCGGCTGGGCCGCGCCCAGAGTCCCGTTGCCATAGCAACGCCAACGGCCTGGCCCGGAGACCAAACTAGGCCTAGGGATCCCCCGAAGTCGAAACCAAGAGCGGCGAGAGAGCAAGCGCGGAGGGAGGGAGGAAAGGCGGCAAGGAGCGGCCCATCGCCACTCTGTCCCACCACCCTGAATTTTGAGAACGAGCTGAGGAAGTAGCAGGAAGGGGCCATGTCAGGTGCAATGCAGGAATTGGGTACGACTCGAATGCACGACTCAGATTAAGAGTCACTTAGATTAGAGTCACTAGGAAGCCCTGCTGGATTTTTTAAAAAAAATCTTAATTGAAAATGTTTTCAGGAGCAAGAGCAATCCTATGCAAAAGAAGCATGCGGGTGTAAATGAAGCCAGTGTAGTTACAGCAGATTCAAACCCTGTTCAGCAGGAAGGCTGCTGCTGTTCTGCCTTAGCCTGGCAGAGGGCAAATAGGCCTTTCAAATAGTGTGCTATGCTAGATTGTCAGGCCACTGGAGCTGAATGGGTTTAGGATCCAGCCTAAGTCCCTTTTGCAACCACTTTAGCTCAGCCAGAGCCAGCTGTGCCAGGATGAGGCAACTACACCAGCATAACTTCAGCTGAGCTGGATTGGAAATTTAACACTGGCTGAGCTGGGAATCAGCCAGCTAAACCAAATATCTGCTCATCCCAGTGCACTTTGTCTAGGACTGCCCCTTCATCTGTCCTTTATGTGATTTAAACATTAATGTCTCATTCTCCCATACTGTTTTCTAAATTCTAAAACACTTCAGATTTTACTACAGTGTTTCAAATGTTTGGCTTAAATTTAAAACACGTTTCTAATTACAGTGGTACCTCTGGTTACGTACTTAATTCGTTCTGGAGGTCTGTTCTTAACCTGAAACTGTTCTTAACCTGAAGCACCACTTTAGCTAATGGGGCTTCCTGCTGCCGCTGCACTATTTCTGTTCTCATCCTGAAGCAAAGTTCTTAACCTGAGGTACTATTTCTGGGTTAGAGGAGTCTGTAACCTGAAGTGTATGTAACCTGAAGCATATGTAACCCAAGATACCACTGTATACATTTATATGGTTGCTGCGCAGAGCTGCCTGCTTCCCCCAGTTTTGCACTGCACATCCTGTGGTAAAATCTATTGTAATGGGATTAAGCAACCATGTGACCCTTTTCACAATCAGACACAATAATCTCATCCTGTAGGCTTCTATTCACAATGAATCAGGATGGAGACACGTGTGACAAAGCAGTAACTCAGCAGAATCCTTAATCACCAGACCAGCAAGAGAGAAGCTGCAGAATACACTGCAAGAAAGCAAACCAACTTCTTACTAATTGGTCTGATCTGGAAGAAAAATACATCAATTCAATATGCAGGAAGTGATTGGTTTCTGCAGAACTGTATCTCCAGGAGTGAAGCATTTTAAATGTAGGTGTTTTAGTTTTTAGACGTCTCTCAAGTAGACTTTCTGATGAATCAACCTCACGGCCCACAGAGGTGACAAAGAAATAAAGAAGGGAAAGAGAAAACAAACCCTTGGAATATAAACTTTGTGGCACTTTTGAACTGAACTTTTGGAATATACTGTTTCTGAACTGGGTGACTTTGGTGATTTATTAATGTAAAAGGTTTTCATTGATGTTCTGATACTCATTGCTGGGAATAATACATGAAGGAGAGCTATGGACTACTTTGTTTCTTATTCTGAGAAACAGTGCTTTTCAGAATTATTTGACTCTTCTGATGGGGAGGAGATGGAAGAGGAAAGGATGGAGAGATATGCAGCAGATTTAGAGATGAATCCTTTTGATGGATTGCCGTTCTCTTCCCGTTACTACAAACTTCTCAAAGAAGAGAGGAACTTCCAGTCTGGCAAGTGAAATATGCTTTCATGGAAAGTCTGCATCATCATCAGATTGTGATTGTTTCAGGAGATGCCAAAACTGGTAAGAGCTCCCAGGTGAGTGTTTGTAACAAAGGACTTGCAGTATGATATGAATTAATTATATGCAACATTTATATTTTTAAAATAGATCTTGTAATGGACAGAACATTGAACTAAGTTTTTAGGCATGTGATCCTGTATGTTACCACTTACTGAACATCCTAGAATGTAAAACTGTTGCCTGCTTTCAGTGATTGTCCTGTAGTACTCCAATATTGTCAAATGTATTAGGCCAATCAAAATCTCATCTGCACAACATTAATTGCAGTAGGCTTGGGAGTGGTGGTGACAGAAATGGTTTTACTAGGGCTTCAGGATTGAGGTCCTTAAAAAAGCAGGACCCATGATCCAGTTCTGTACTGCACCTTTCAAGATTTGTTCATGCAGGAAGGGATCTCTCTCAACTATTGAGTTTCAATACTTGTTTGGCATGTAGTATACGAGAGATTGCCATTTTAAAACAAAGTTCAAAAGATCAGTACATGAAGTTCATTTCACCATATAGTTTGACAGAATGCACTTCTTATTGCCTATTTGATTATATTATCCAACATTTCATTGAAGGTGGTTGAAAAGACAAGAATTAAAATGTGATATGGTTTTAGAAACAGAGGACAAATTAACTGATAAACGTTGTATTTCATAAAATTTATACACTGCTTGTTTGTTAAAAAATAACCTTATTTTATATTTACAAAAAGAAAATAAAAGCAAGAAAAAATATCAAAGCCATACTTCAAAACATACAAAAGTTAAAACATTGTACTTAAACAGATTAAAATATGATTAGATATATAGACAGAGATATAGTGCATGTTTAGAATTTTAACTTTAAATTCCATGAATTTTTTTATCATGTATAAGACAAGCATAATCAATCAGTAGTTACTTCCATATGAGCTACATTGAAATCAATTCACTAAGACAAGAAAAGGCCATCTGTTTCCCAAGGGCATCTGCCAGCCTCCTCCACTGGCACAAGGACTTTGAACTTTCATCACCACAAGCATTTCAAAAAGTTAAGAACATTCATTTCTGCGATTAATGTATGAGACATATAGGGCCATCTCAGTGACTCCACTATTATGGAATATCTCCCACACACCCAAGGCTCAAATGGACCTCTTTCTGCTAGTTAGTGAAAAAGACATTTATATTCCAGCAGACTTATACCTTGCCATACTGTCGATAAAACAGGAGTGAGCTACCGTTTCCAGCATGAGGGCCACATTCCTTCATGGGAAACTTTACTGGAGACCAGAGGCAACAGTGAGCAGAGAAATGGATGTGATTCTTAGCTTTGCAATATAGGCCACATTCTGGTTATACAAAAACCAGAGTGTCCTGAACAATGGGGTACCTGGTGGCAAGTCCCGCTGGAGTGCACAATCCCACAGCATATGCTGGCACACAGCCCAGCAGTCTGGCAGGCCAACAGGTCCAAAGTCCAGCCTGGTTCCTGTCTCTGATCCGGGGTCAGGGCACCTTGAGGTCAGTCCCACACAAGCATAGTCTTGAAGAGCACCCGGGGCCATCCATCCAAGCAGTGGTCCAACCAACATGGGAAGTTCAGCAGACACAGCACCTCAGCTCTGCTTCCCTTTTGTACTTTGCAGGCTGATTGCAGCATCTGGGCTTGATGAGGCACTTGACCCTCACCTGTTCTGAGCCTACTCCAGCTGAGGAATCACACACCTCAGGGGCTTACTCCCGAAGCCTTTCTCATGAATTGTATAACCACAAGGCAACAGAAGTTTAGGAGGTTTTCTCCTTCCCCAAGATAGGCTACCTTCCCAGGCTGGTGAGCCCCATTTCCCCCTCATTTCCCTTAACAGCACATGAAGAAAAGTCTTCTTGACCATTGTACCTGCTATTGGCCTCGTCTTCAAATGCAGGGCATAGACAAGTCCTTAACTCACTGAGGGTTTAAGACCCATCGGCTACCCTTACCTGGTTTAGCTGGCCAGTTGCAGCTGTTTCCCAGAATGTCACCACTGTCACATGTTGACTGCTTCTATGAGCCACAGGTGAGAGCTGAGTGCAGGTTTGGGGACCAAAGATGGACGAACTTCCCCAGAAGAAACACAACGTGTCCCCACCAGAGATACTGCCCTCCCCTAACATCTAATTCAATCATTTATACAATTATACATGATGGTGCATAAACTGACCCTTTATTAATTTTCCTTTCAAAAGGAAAGAATATCTTTTGTTCCCCTGTTTTATGGCCATGTGGATTACTGCAAGACACTTTCATTGTTTACAGATGTACAACCCCCATAGAGTTCCTCTACAAATTCCAGAGTTATGGCAATAAATACAAACAATCCTTCTGCTTCAAATAAACATTAACATCAGCTGTTGACTTCTTTCTCACAGATGGTCATTTTGTGCTAAAGTGACTGAGCAGAGCCAGGGCTGTAAGCCCAGAAGGAAACACAGACAGGGATTTGGCCCCCCTGACCCTGATCAGAAATGTCCCTCACACTGTTAAACCAAGCAAGGAACCAAAATGCTCAAGTATGATAGGGTTGGTGTCCTTTTCTCCCCAGAGGCCATTCCTGTCACTTCTCTAATATACTCAGGCTAATCTAGTTCAGAACAAGAAATTCCCAGAACTGTCTTTCACTTTATGTTTGACCACTTAACTGACTCGGGGTCTTGACATTTATCCAGGAAAATAATTTCCATTTATTGAACTGTTCAGTTGCTAGTAGGCAGACAGCTAGCAAGCAAACAGCAGATGTTCACTTGAGACAGCACATGTAATCAAATAAGCTTGTGTATTCATTTCATAGATGGATTCATTCCTCTCTAACTTTTTTAATATTAAAGGTGCCCCAGTGGTGTGCTGAATATTCTCTTTCCACTCATTTTCAACACGGAACAATTGTGTGCACACAGACACATAAACACACAGCAGTATGGCTGGCATTGCAAGTAGCTGATGAGATGGACGTCAATATCGGTCATGAAGTGGGTTATGTGGTCCCATGTGAGAGCTGCTGTAATAGTGAAACGATCCTGAGGTTTGTGCATACATATTCAGTCCCTCTAATATGTACAGGTACGCTATATAACCTACATACAAATGTGTAATTCCATTATGCTCTAGCATCACACACTAGCCAGGAAACAGAGCCTGATACAGTTCTATGAAGATTATGTGGCAAGACTATAAAGGTCTTGATCTTCAGTAGTTCTATGTGATAAAGTGAATGGGTTGCATTGAACCAGATACTGAGGTCAAAAGGAGTCAGGGACAGGGTTATTGTTCCCCACCTTACAAATACATGTGCTATTGATGTCTCTGTGGATCCCTTTAATTAACCAACTTAGATGTGGAAATGTGAAAAAACAAACTACTGCATTTAGGAACATTGTTGTGAATGTAATATTTGGCTGTCAGATGGCCTAAACCCTACCCTATAAGAGATGCATCATGTTTCTGTGCATGTGATGCACACATATATGTGTACATGTGTGGCATACAGCTTTACCCTAGCTTTTGACACTTGAGGTGTATATTTTTGGGACCCATCTTAGTACTTGACTTCCTATTCTGACAAGCTGTTTTTTACTTTTTCTGAGCATAAATGAATTCTGTGCTCACAGTCTGGCACGTTAAAGCCTACTGTAGTCAGTGGAATTTAGGCTGCAATCCTATGTTTACTTACCTGTGAGTTTTCCCTGTTGAACACACTGGGACTTCCTTTTGAGGAAACATACATGGGATTGCTGTGTCTTTCTCATACCAAATATATGCTGAATTATTGCCTCCTCCACATGCAGCTGCTGGGTGACTTGGGCCAGTCACACTTCTCTGAAGTCTCTCAGCTCCACTCAACTCACAGAGTGTTTGTTGTGGGGAAGGAAGGGAAAGGAGAATGTTAGCCACTTTGAGACTACTTTGGGTAGTGATAAAGCGGGATATCAAATCCAAAATCTTCTACTCTTCTTCTTGCAGGTATGACAACATAAGCCTGACAGGCTATTCTAATCTGCCATGATTTCTCCGACCCCACCACTTTAGTGCAATTTTGTTGATATTTTCATTTTGAAGGAAAAACCTGGGGAGATTATGCATGGCCTGAAGAACGCATGCTGTCTCCTTCAGCTTATGTCATCACCAATTTTGATTAATGATCTTTCTTTCTTTGCATGGTTACAGATACAGTACAGATGACATGCTACAAAGAGAAATGATGTCCAATCCCTTTCTGAGCAATTATGGAATCATCATTTTGGATGATGTGCATGAAAGAACTCTCCCAACAGATGTATTGCTTGGACTCCTTAAAGATGTAGTGATATTAAGACCCGAGCTGAAGCTAATTGTAATTACATCTACTCAAATGTGCACCAAACTACAGACATATTATGGCAATACGTCTCTCATAAGAGTGAAGAGCAGATACCAGGTGGAGGTTGTGTATACCTGTTGCATTCAGAAAGATAATTTCTCTTCTGCTTTAAGACTGCTTTTTGAGATTCATAACTCTAAAGAGAGAGGTGATATTGTGATCTTTCTGGCCTGTGAACAAGTAAGTAAATCATTTAATGTGTCACAGAAAATATTTGCATACTTGGGCTTCCATGTTAGGATGAGCAATTTCCGTACCTCTGTAATTAGGCCAATTTTAAAAAAGTATTCATGTTGCACTAAGTCTACAGTTCTATATATACTTACTTGGGAGAAAGTCCCATTGAACTAAGTAGGGTTTACTTCAGAGTAGGTATGCCAATAATTATGCTGTAAGGTAACTGTAGCAAGCTACTTTTAGGAACATCTAGCATCAACTCACTTTACCAAGGCTGCTATCTAGGTTGTGGCTTATTACTCTCACAGAGCTACAATTCTCAAAGCGATTTAACAGTCAATCTTTCTTCCCAGGGAACTATGAGAATTGTACCGCTGTAAGGAGAACAGGGGTCTCCTAAAACTTCCAGCGGGACGTGGGTGGCGTTGTGGGTTAAACCACAGAGCCTAGGACTTGCCGATCAGAAGGTTGGCAGTTCAAATGCCCGCGACGGGGTGAGCTCCTGTTGCTTGGTCCCTGCTTCTGCCAACCTAGCAGTTCGAAAGCGCGTCAAAGTGCAAGTAGATAAATAGGTACCGCTCTGGCGGGAAGGTAAACGGCGTTTCCGTGCGCTGCTCTGGTTTGCCAGAAGCGGCTTTGTCATGCTGGCCACATGACCCAGAAGCTGTACGCTGGCTCCCTCGGCCAATAAAGCGAGATGAGCACCGCAACCCCAGAGTCGGTCACGAGTGGACCTAATGGTCAGGGGTCCCTTTACCTTTACCTTTAAAACTCCCAGCACCCTTAACAAAGTACAGCTCCCGGGACACTTTGGGAGAAGCCATTATGGTTTAAAGAGGTCTAAAACTGTTTTCAATGTATAGTGCAGACGGAGCCCTAGATAGCATATCCTATAATAGTGGGTCTTGAGATTTTCTGGGATCAAAACTGCTACTAAGAAATCAAGGTGAATAATCATGTAGGCAAAGCGTTTTGGTCCTGTATGTATCACTTTGACATTAAAAGACTTGGGGGAGGGAACAGTAGTATGCAAAAGAAACACTTTAAGCCTTTGGAGAGAGAGAAATGCATTTTAAATTGCATTATACTCTTTTCCATATCTTTTGCAAGCAATCATTTTTTATAATGTGAAAGAAGAAGAACGACATAATTTAACAAATACTTTAGAGCTGTTGAATTCTTACACTTTTATGCCTTTATATTCTCAAACTTAATTTTTCAATTAATGGTTTCTTTAGCATTTTATTGATTTTTATTACCCCCAGAGAGTTCATCTGCCACTGGGGAGAATGCTATAAAGCAAATTTGCAATTCTCCTATATGTTCAATTATTTTAATAGCGATAAAGAAAAATTAGTCACTTTCATATATGGTTTATAGCACTTTTGATACTTTAAATTCTAACTAGACTAAGAACATAATAGTAATTTTCAAAGTTAGCAAGATAGAGATTCTTCCAAATTAATTTGTCCTATTTCTGGGAAGTGTATGGAACACACTGATATGGAAAATCAAGGCGCCATGTTATAATTTTTCATTACAGTATTACTGTTCTAGTAGCGTGTTAATGTTTTGTTATGGATATTAGAATGTCTTTCTGTGAGATTGGTATAGCCATGATAGACTGTCAAATGGCAGAAATCTGTAAGGAATATGGCACTTAAGCAAATGGGGGAAGGAAGAGAAAGAAGCCCCTTCTTGGGCTGAAATAAATTCCTCAAGAAACAGAATTGCCGCATTACCGTATATGATGTTTCTATGTATGCTTCTGTTACAATTTCCTCAATTTAATCAGCATTATGACTGTTATATTTTTGCCATTAGAGCTTAACATAGAAATAAAATCCATTAAAAAGAGAGAATAGATTCAGAATTGGCACAGTGAGCCTGTTTAATTTTCATGAAAGATGTCTTCACTGCTTCTAGGAAATTGGAAAAGCCTACAAGATTATTCAACAAGAAGGGCCTAATTTAAATCCTGAACTTGGTGAATTGGTCCCTGTTCTTCTCTATCCCAGTGAAAGAGAGAGAATCCTCAAGCCAAATGAAGAAGGGCCTTGCAAAAATTACAGGAGAAGAGTGTTGCTAACTACAAGCTTTGGGGGATCTTTGGTTTGGATTAAAACTGTGGCCTTTGTTATAGATGTTGGGATAGAGAAAAGAAAGGTAAGTAAAATAATATTTAATAAATTACCAATGGGGCAACACATGTCTCAAAGGTGAGGTTTCACATACCTGCATAGTTCATTATGGTGTGGCTCTTGATATGTACTTGTTTAAAAGGCTGGCATAATTTTCTATTCCCTCCCCCCATGTACAACAGGGATTCACCTGCCTCTTGTCCCCTTCCCCCACCCCCATAGTTCCTTCCACACCCTCAAATTCTGTGCTGCAGCATTGGAAGTCAGCTCAATCAACATTTTTAATTAAAACAGGTTTTCAGTGCAGAGGCCAAATTGTATTTTCATTGATTTTCAAGCTTCTTGGTTTTATTTTTGAGAAACGTCAGTCCAGACAAATATACATGTGTGAAGGGATGTCCTTTCTTAAAATAGCCATTCAGCCAATACAGAGTTCCACGTGTGCTCTGCTGTGTTTAAAACAAAACAAAACACTGACATGAAAAGAGCTAAGGAATGTTTTTGCAGATTCCATTCTCCATTCACTGAAATGAATGGGGAACTGTTCCAGGCGTGGGATCTTGCTGCACATCAGAGCTCCTAAGCCTGAACCATCGCTGCTTCCAGATGGGTGGCTGCTAGCACTGATAAATCATTGCTTTTTCACTGTAAACTACAATTGAGAATGCAATTGACTTTCCCCACAGTATCAGGGATATTGTATATTTTCTCTATGTTTATCCCATTACATTCCACTGTAAGCTGTAATCTGAATTGCAATTCACTTTCCCCACATTTGGGGTTATTACACCTGGTTTCTGTGATTATCATGGAATATGAGTCAAGTGTATCAAGCAGTGGTGGGTGTGGGACTGGACAGGAATACAGGAGGAACTCATAGACATGTTATGCACCCCTTATCTCCCAGTGCTGCCTGTGTCTGTATGATGCCACTGAGCTTCTTGAGCTTGCCAATCAGAATGTCACCGGTTCGAATCCCTGTGACGTGGTGAGCTCCCGTTGCTCTGTCCCAGCTCCTGCCAACCTAGCAGTTTGAAAGCATGCCAGCGCAAGTAGATAAATAGGTACTGCTGTGGTGGGAAGGTAAATGGCATTTCTGTGCGCTCTGGTTTCCGTCACGGTGTTCTGTTGCACCAGAAGCGGTTTAGTCATACTGGCTACATGACCCAGAAAGCTGTCTGTGGACAAATGCCACCTCTCTCGGCCTGAAAGTGAGATGAGCGTGCAACCCCATAGTCACCTCTGACTGGGCTTAACCATGCAGGGGTCCTTTCCCTTTACCTATATTCACATAGACATAGGAAAAGGGGGAGAAAGAGTTATTTTGAGTCTATGGGAGTACTGTGTGTTCAGGCACTGCAGCCTCAGTGGACTGCTGTGTTTTATTGAAGAGAATTTCTCCAAGATATGACAGCAAAACTACAACGATCCTGACAGGAACAAGTGGTGTTTCAGTCAATTTATCAAACTGCTTTCACTTTTTCATTTCAAGACAAGTGAAACAATAATAAATATTGTGGAAAGGAAATGAATTTGCAGCCAAGCATTTCATGAAACACAGCAAGAAAAACCTTCTAAGCAAAAACTCAATGCAAATCCATTGCAATCTTGCTCAATCTTTCTTTTTTTCAACAAAGTCATGTCTCTCTTGATTTGCAAGGTATACAGTCCTCGAATCAGAACAGATGCTGTTGTGATACAGCCCATTAGCAAAAGCCAAGCTGAGATGCGTAGGCAAATTCTGGGCATGTCTTCAGGTAAGGGGGGGGAATCATTGTAAGCTTTAAACAACCATGTTTATCACAAGAGAATGTGTTGAAGCAAGGTTGTTGTTGAATTTCCTGACAGGTAAATGTTTCTGCCTCTACCCTGAAGAATTTACAGATAATGAAGTGAAGCTGCTACCACCGGCCAAAATTCAGGAATCCAACTTGACCAGCATGGTTCTTTTTCTGAAAAGAATGGATATTGCAGGCCTAGGCCACTGTGATTTCATGGATAGGCCAGGTAATACCAAATTGTTATCCATTTTCTTAGCCTTAGTCTGCTGTCTGAACCAGGGCTCATGGTTCAACTGTCTCCTTGCTAACCATAAACTGTAACTAAGGTCTATTCTTATGGTGTGTTTGCACACAACCTGTTTAGTTTTATCTGCTGTACGTGTTCCAGAATGAAAGTTGAGTATTTGGGGGGTATTTTTTCAGGAACGCATTAGAAAATTTCTTATATTAACAAATGGGTATTGTCGACTCGATACATGAACACTAACAAACGATTTCCATGGAACACATTGTGTTCAGGTAGCAGGATCTGCCTGTACATACATAGCTACCTAGCACCTGCCTCATTACCTTTAGCATTCCCCTAAATAACTAAAGACATGGATAGATAATATAAGATAGCATGAGCTTCGTATAGCACAGATTATGTGACCACAGTGGTTGTCAGTTACACCATTAGAATAAAACAAATAAGATCATAACCCAAGCTCTGCTAATACTGTGCTTAGGGTGGCAGCTTGATAACTACCGTGATCTAACTCTTAAGGTCAAACTTGATGTTACAATAAAGACACGGTGACCATCGGAAACAGAAGCCATGTGTATAGTATTAGTATTAATTTACAGTGTCTAAGATGTTCTAGGCACTGAACAGAGATTAAAAGAAAGACAATCCCTGATCACAATGTAATAGATATGATACAGAAAGGAACGTTGTTGGGGAGGGAAGCAGAAAGCATGCAAATGCCAGCGCTAACAATTGCAGTGATAAAATATTACCAGTATCTGCTTGTAAACAGGTCTTGTTTCTGGTGAAATTCCTGGCTTTTAGCTTTATCCTTTAGCAAGTGCTCTGTGTTTAGCAATTACTAAAGATAACCTGCAATTCAAGCCAATTTTTTATTTAATGGAAATGCCACATTAAACAATAATGTAATCTTCACTTCTACAAAAGATAAAGCCTGACTTTCAGCAAGATGGAGCAATTCATTTAAATAAAACAGCTTTTACAGATCTTTAACATTTTGTATTTCCAGATTTATTGCATTTATCACTCTTGTTTTGACCTTAAAAAAAACCTTTTAAAAAACCATGAAAAAATATGGGAAGGTAACACTTTCCTTCCTGAACAGAGCGGCATTGTGCTTTCAAAAGGGAGTGAGAAGCATTGGTTATTGTTTCCCCTATATAGTGTCGCCTCTCAACCTTGTCATTCTAGGCATCTCCTTTGGTATGCTGCACAGCAAGCTTTGTGTCTGCTTTCAGTACTGACTAGGAAATTTAAAGGTGGGTTTTGTATTTTCAGTTTAAAGTGGAAGCAATAATAAAGCAAGGTCAACCTGGATAGTATCAGCTGTGGAGATGAACACTCAACCTCACAATCCGTTATGTTTTTATTGAAAATATAGAACTCTTAACTGCCATCCAAATATGTGAGGAGCCTCCCTTGACTGTCCATAGCCAATTTCCTTTCTAAGTAAGAATGAGCTGTACTTGTTTTGTTGCATTAGGAATGGCCTCAGAAGGAAGTCCCTCCACATTTTGAATGCTATGTACAGTTTTGATTGGGTCATCTCAGAAAGGATATTGTAGCTCTGGAAAAGGTCCAGAAAAACTATCGTGATTGGAGCATCTTCCCTATGAGGAAAGGCTAAAGCATTTGGGGGCTTTAGAAAGAGATTGCTAACTGGGGACGCAATACCGGTTTATAAAATTATGCATGTTCCTCCCTCATAATAGTAGAACTTGGGATCATCAAATGAAATTCTGGGCTGTAGACTCAGGAAAGATAACTTGTTTCTTCATACATGTAATTAATTTACAGAATCCACTGCCACAATATGTGGTGATATTTACTAGTTAGAAGTGTTTAAAGGCGGATTGGACAATTTGGTGGATAGGGAATATTAATCACTGTGGTTATATTGAACTTCCACGTTCAGAAGCGGTCATCCACTGAGTACCAATTGCTAGGAAGTAACAGCATACTGTAGTAATTGGAATGTTAAAAAATAATAATAGTAGGTTTGGGGAGACCCAGGATCAAACTCCCATTCAGTCATAAAGCCATCATGCAACCTTTCAACATAGCCTACCCCACAGGGTTGTTGTGAGGTGAAAACTTGGGGAGAAACATGTACACCATCCTGAACTCTTTCTTGGAAAGAGGGGATATGATTGTAATATAGACATAAATAAATAGCAGAAGATGGCTAGTGCCTTCAGGCTCTTCTTGTGTGATTCCAAGCGTTATATAGTTTACTGCTGTGGGAAGCAGAAACTGGACTAGATGGAGGTTCTGAAGTACATTGCCTGAAATGCGGTTCAGTAAGAGACTGAATTTTTCAGGGTGATAATTGCTTAAGATGATTCTCTGGCAGACTTCTCTGCAATGCCATTTTAGAAATACATTAGAGTTGCCATTATGCCTTCCAAGTATACTTCATCTTTACATTGCAGAGAATTGATTCACTCTCAGGATGATTGATTATTTCGGTACTATTTTTTAATCACTTAGTGGTACTGCATTAGATCTATTTTGATTTCTCAGGTACATTCCCTCCATATGGTACTTGTACTTAGGGACTTATTCCCATGACAAAAATCACTTCATTTATGTATGGTGTGTGCATCATTCAGCTTTTTGTACATGTATTGTGTACTTGGCAATAGTGGATTTTGTGTGCCAAAATGATCTGATGCCTTTTTAGAATCTTATTCCATTTAAATGAATGGGGAAGCCTTTAGACGTGGGCAGTGCCCCCCCCCACCCCACTTCCTTTCCCACCTTCAAATTTGAAGGAAGTAGGATGCTTTCAAAGTTTGGGGGAGGAAAGAAAGTAGAATGTTTAGGCCAGTCTCAATTATGTCCAGCTGAAAGACATGGTGTGAAAAGGGGTGGGATAACACCCCACTTCAAGCAATTTATTTTACTAGACTGGGGCCCTGTTACATCTTTTAACCTAGCCATTTCCTTTTGACTTCATCATAGTCATTTTTTAGTTATCTATAATATGTTCAGAGAGCCTTTATAGGTGAAGAGTGGGACAAAATATATTTAAAATAGATTGGGGTTAACTAACATCATGCTATCCAGATGTTGTTGGACTGCAGTTCCCATCAACCCTAGTGAGCATGGCCGGGATGGTGAGAGATGGGAGTCCAGCAACATCTGGAGGGCAAAATAATTGATTGTGAACCAATATGAACAATATCCAATGGCCCCATTTTAAACTGTCCTGAGGCAGCTTTAGGTGTGTGTGTTCTCTGTTTAAATAATAAGGCACATCAACTTGCTAAGAACAGGTTGGAGTTTTGCGTTTGCATAAGCAAAACCTAAATGAGAATCCCCTCTTGGCCATGAAACTCAAAGAGCAATCTTTGAACAGTCAGTCTCTCAGCATAAAGTACAATTTTGCTTTATTTCGAGGTAAGGTTGAATACCAGTGATAATAAATACAGAGTAGCACAGTGTGGTAATTCAAAGAAGTGTGATTTACCAAGTGTTGGATTACATTACATTGCATTATAGAAGTTCTCCATACATGCAATAGATTAGAAAAGTAGTACCTGGTGGCAGTAGTCTTGGATGGGTGCTCCCAAGTCAACTATCCTGCAACATTAGCTTGCTGAGTAGATTAGCTAAGCCAAAACAATAATTTTACAGCTTGCCATTTGCCAGCCAGTGAACCTTCTCTTTGTTTAATGTCCACAAGTCAAAGTGTGTCCCAAGCTACAGCCCATTGGGCTGGCACAGTAAAAGCACACCTGTTTCTGAGGAATATGATTAAAGCTGTTCTTTCTTCATGGCAAGGTATAGAAAAATGCAGACATTTGCAAAGCTGTATAGTATGTTTGTTGTCCCTCTGAGGTTAAGCACCAATGTCCTCAGCATTCAGATGTGAAATTGAGAATTGCTCTGTCCAGATGCTATGGGAAAGAGCCTGGAAAGACTAAAAGGCACATTATCAGACAAATCTTCCTTCCTCCTCCTTCCTCCTATGTTTAAAAGTAAGCAAATACAATTATCTGCTGTAGCACTAGCACACTTTTACCAAGATAGATTTGGGTCTGGACAGCTAAACCATTTTCCTCTCCTTAAAAATATTGGCCTTTCCAGATTATCTCTTTAAGGTGGCCATAAGAAATCACTTTGAGCATCAGCTTCCTATTTGCATCGTGGGGATAATTGTATTGGCCTACCTTTCATAGCTGCAGAAAGGATTACTGATGATGTCATCCTTTTTCCTTTTTTTGTGATTGAACTACTTGGACATAAGATAAAGTTGTGTTTTTTCCCTATGACATCAGTGGCATTAAACTTGTTTAAATGGGAACGTGGAATTTTATAATACAGTGAATAACACTGAATATAGCACTCAAGTGGTTCAAAGTTGCTGCTTTCTCCTCTTTTCATACTAGTGTCTTGTACAGAACAACACATGATCAGTAATAGGAGAAGCAGCACGATGTCTCTTGCAATGTCTATTTCTGTCTGAATAGAACTTCAGATAATGATGGTTAGCTGTTTGCTAGTTTCTTTTACAAATTTCACCTGTAAAATTTACATTCTGCTTTGCATAGTAATTATCCCTTTTAAAAGGTATTAAAAATCTAACCAGTTTAAGTAGGCAAAGGTATATGTGAAAGGGAGCACCATTTTGTTTTTATATACTGTAATGGAGGGAACAAATGTAGTTGAATATTTTTATATAGCTGATTCCTTTTCAGTGCACTGTGACTGTGGCAGTCCTTGATTCACAAAGCCCTAGGTGGAGCTTGCCTCTTGGCTCCCAGTAACATTGACCTGGTCAGACCAGACGTAATAAAAATGACATTGTATGTTGTTAAAGCCCTATTTTGTAAAGCGCTACATGTCCCTGTCCTTTATTAAGAAAGGCTTTCAGAATTAAACACAGGAGTTGCTTTTGTTTCTCTTATTTATGATGAGCTTTATTTAAACCTGAACAATACCATAAAGAATTCTCAAATGAACCTTTGCCATTTTTACAATGACTTTTTTATTGGCTGCATTTGTGCCTGCAAATGCAGACTAATATCTGAAAACCTTATTCAAGGTTTTCTTTTATTTTATTACTGTTCCTTCACCTGTATAATCTGCATTTATTAACTTGTCCTTTCCAATATAATAAAAAATGAAGCACTTTTTTTTTATTATAATGCTGAAGCAAAAGCCTAGAGTCATTCCTGTTTCCCGGTCTCGGAGCAACCAACTTGGAGATATAAAAATGCAAAACAGTAAGACTCCCCAGAGAATAGAATTGGCTGCGGAGCCAGATGCTTCCAAGGACAATAGCCATATATTCAGCTCACAATACAAACTGCTTTATTGATTTATAGAAATTAGTTTACCATGATTCCCTGGTAATTACTTCAAAGGCTCAGTAGCCATTCATGCCGCCCCGCCCCCCTTTTAAATCTTGCATCCCTATTTTTCTGTCACCGACTCTTGGTTTCTCCCATTCATCAGCTGTTACTTTTCATTTCATGGCTCAGTGATAAAACTCTCAAACTTTCCCCCCCTTAAATATCCAACCTGTTTTCTTCTTCGATGCTTTGACTTTCTCAAGGACTCATCTTTTATCGCATTAAACCTTACAGGCTGGCTAATAAATGTTCTCTCTTCTCCATGATGTGCAGGCAGGGATCTGAATTCTAATAATATTAAATCAGATCTCTAGGCAAACACATGGTATCTTTGCTGAGTATTGTAAGATGGTCAAAAATTCAAGTTGTTTGGCATGCAGCCCACTCCTATGCATTAAATCAGGGAAGAGGAACCTGTGGCCCTAATGTTGCAGGACTCCAACTCCCATCAGCCCCAACCAGCATGGCCAATGAGCAAGGAGGATGAGAGCTGTAGTCCAGCAACCACTAGAGTTACCCATCTGCTGCATTAGAATTTAGTCCAGCTGAATTAAATGGGCTTATTGCTAAGTAATTGTGCACATGAATTTTGCAGAAGATTGCAGCCTTTCAGAGAAGCCCAGTGATCCAACTGTGATGGCTGTCATTATGCTATACCTTACCTTGGTATAACTAGAAGGAATTTAATGCTTTCCTCCAATGTTAGCAATGTATGTGTGCACCAACCAATATGTGGCAATGGCAGGGATGCCATGAGATTGTCTCTTAACCCATTCCATGCACTCTGCCACACACATGGCACTTGTGTGCTCCTAGGAGGAATCCACACCACCACAGGTAGCACAGATTAGGTGTGAAACTCCCTAGGCTGTCCCTCATGCATAGGTTTGGCCCCAGGCAAATGTGGCAAGATAACCTGTTTGCCAGAGAACCCTACAAAAACAAGAGCTGCCATTCCAATCACAATGAATTGGGTAGCATTCTTAGGCCACTGGACAGCCACAAGCAGCCACAAGCAGCAGGCATTCCTCCAGACAGTGGCTGGACCAGGCAGAGAGCCTTCCCTGTATTGGCGCCTGCCCTGTGGAACACCCTCCCATCAGATGTCAAGGAAATAAACAACTATCTGACTTTTAGAAGGCAACCCTGTTTAGGGAAGTTTTTAATGTTTGATGTTTTAAATATTCTGTTGGGAGCCGCCTAGAATGGCTAGGGAAACCCAGCCAGATGGGCGGGGTATTATTATTATAATTAATAATAATAATAATAGAAATTATTATTATTATTATTATTATTATTATTATTATTATTATTATTATTATTCCTGGCATTTCAAATAGCAGATTGCAGGAAAGCACCTTCTAGCCTTTTTTTCACTGCCAAGTAAAATGTCAGGACCACAGAAGGAAGAACAACTATCCCAGTCAATATATCTGTCAGCTCCGTCGCCCTCAGTCTAGAAGCAATACTGCACACAAAACCTGTGTGTGTCAGCACCCCCTCCCCCCGGAAACACATTGAAGCTCTGCTGTGGAACCAAGTTTTTCTTCGCAAACAATGCAACTAATGCAACCTCTGGAAAGGCTTCCGGTGCTTCTGGGGAAGGCTTGCTCTTTGTTCCAGTGATGAGGACCTAGTGCAGAAGCATCATTATCCATATGATCACATTTCCCCCCTGTTTGTTCTCACATTGCCGAGTACAGGGGAGAACAGTTTTAAGAGTTTCTGGAAAAGAAGAAATGTTCAAATTTTTTCGTTAAAAAGCAAAAAATAAAAATAGATTTTTCCATTTTTGAACCATTTCATATTCCTCTCTCTTTTTTTGCTTTTTTGGGGTGTGGGCAGCCATTTTGTTCTAGGCCACACCCCCGGCGGCAATTTTCTGACTTGGCACTGCCTCAAAATTCCAAATGTGCCCCTGGAACCAAAAAAGTTGGCAACTGCTGCACCAATTTACCTGAGAGAGAAATTAGGCAAAATTTCCTGTAACCTTGTGATAATCAAATACTTAGTTTAATTCTGTCTGTATAGGCATTTCACTGAACAGTGACAGAATACAACAACCAGTGTAACTAAGCATTTCTCCCCACCCCAGCTCCTGAAAGTCTCATGCAAGCTCTGGAAGATCTGGATTATTTGGCTGCCCTGGACAATGATGGAAACCTTTCAGAATTTGGAATAATAATGTCAGAGTTTCCTGTCGATCCACAGCTGTCAAAGGCTATTTTAGCTTCGTGTGAATTTGACTGTGTGGAAGAAATGCTCACCATTGCTGCCATGGTAACAGGTATTTTCTGAAGTGTTTGTGGCTCCTTCTCAGGCCCAGTGTAATTATATAGAACTACTGCCATCAACCATTTATAGGATGATTAGTTGATTCATAGTTTGCCTTTTAACCAACTAAATGAGAAAATTAAAGGTAAAGGTAAAGGTACCCCTGCCCGTACGGGCCAGTCTTGACAGACTCTAGGGTTGTGCGCCCATCTCACTCAAGAGGCCGGGGGCCAGCGCTGTCCGGAGACACTTCTGGGTCACGTGGCCAGCGTGACGAAACTTCATCTGGCGAGCCAGCGCAGCACACGGAAACGCCGTTTACCTTCCCGCCAGTAAGCGGTCCCTATTTATCTACTTGCACCCGGGGGTGCTTTCGAACTGCTAGGTTGGCAGGCGCTGGGACCGAGCAACAGGAGCGCACCCCACCGTGGGGATTCGAACCGCCGACCTTTTGATCAGCAAGCCCTAGGCGCTGAGGCTTTTACCCACAGCGCCACCCGCATCCCCAAAAATTAAAATTAAAATATTACAAAAACCTCAGTAGTGCCCCTTTGCAACAGTGAAAGACCTTACAGTTTAATTAAAAAGTTACTGCTTCATTAATAATTTCATCCTGTATTTTGCTAACACACCTAAATCAGAATAAACTTGAAAAAAGACAAGAGGTATACCCTTAACTCATCACCTCATCAGTTAAATTTGTTCCTTATCAATTAATCAAGCAGAGGTTTCCTTAATTAATCTGCTTATTAAATTGATTAAAGATCAGAGCCAGAAAAATTGCAGTACTCACAATTAATGAAATGTAAATTTAAAAGGGATTCAAGTTATTTTTTGTTTTGCACAGGTGTTCAGGATGGGTTATGTCACTTCTTCCACACAATATTTAATGAGAATAAAATTATACAGGCCTATAGAGGCTTGCTCTGCAATATAGTAAAACTCAGGCACTTTGGTCTTAGTGTAATGATGTAGCAAAAAAGTTAACACACCAAGCAATGTGCCAATACTCCCATTGTTATGTATATATAGCTTTTCTGTCTCATTCTACACATACTGTATTTATTTAATTATAAATAAATCCCCACTGTTTTCTAGAATTGTAGCAACACATTAGGTCTAGCTGTCGCAAATGTAGCAACACTTGGGTCCAGTTGTTGCAAATATTCAGTGAAGTGATGAGCACTTCTCTTGAATGTACATTAACTGGGAGATCCCACAATGGAATTCTCAACTCCCTCTTCCCCCTAAAAAATACATAGAAGACTTGCATGTCAGAGAAGCCTGGTTCATCACGTTTTGCTTGCAGGAATGTTTCCATGGGGAAACATTCAGTCATGTGTGCTCCTATCTACAACATGAGGTCAAAGCTATGTATTATGGGGGGAATATCCAGACATCACCAACTCAGCATTTCTCCCCAGAATGTAAGCCTGGAGAAAAAAATGGTTTTGGTGTCATTGCTTTAGTTGAAAACACTGCCACTCTTTCAGGGGTATTTTCAGACCCATTGTGGCAGTCAAAATGGAGAGGATGAGAGTGAACCATAGGTTTTGCTGAAGGACCAAAGAGTGAGGGCAACATTATAACGGAAAAGTTATTACACAGCATACATTGTGCATATAGTAAGCTTTATTTCACCGTATCAGCTTGTTTTCATTTCTCTCTCTTTCCTTTTGAACACAAGCTCCTAGTTGCTTTTTAAACCCACCACAGGGAACAGAAGAGATTGCAGTCGCTTGCTGGCAAAAATTCTTGCATCCTGCTGGAGATCATTTTACCCTTATCAATGTCTACAGGGCTTACAAGGAAGCTAGGACAAGCTCCACAGGCCTGTGTAAGTGTGTGTCAAATATTTTAATTACACTTTAAAAAATCATCCTGAAATGCTTCTGAACAATTATTCCAGCTTTCACTTATATAGGACCTATAAGCTAACAGACTATTTAATTTTTATTTAATCATAAAAAACAGCAAAAGGAACAGGGAAAGAGGCAATGAGAACAATGAGATAGGCAGCAGCCCTCTTCAGGCATTCATATTCAGCATTATGCAAATACAAGGGGGGCAAATCCATGGGAATGACTGTGCTAGCTCTGCCACTGGCATTGTTTGGGAGGGTGACTGAAGCAGGGAGCCTTGCATATTATAAGAACCCTGAGTCTTCAACTCATGGAGGACAATGAGGACCATGGGGAGAGAGCTCACCCTTTCCAGTGGCTCCTTTTGCTTCATACTTCCCTTCCTATGGAATGCCTGAAGAGGGCTAGCAATGGATTCCAATTTTAAAATGGTAAATTAAATAGTCTAATGTAAAAAATGCATACTTAGAAGTCAGTTCCATTAAGTTCACTGGGACTTATCCCTAGATAAGTGTGTATATGACTGTAGCCTTTATCCTGAAAAAAGGGTTATTCTGCCAGGTAAAATCTTCATAATTACATCTGGCATGACAGAATAACCTCTTTTCAGGATGAAAGCTGCAGTCCTGTACAAATTTATTTGGGAATAAGTCCCTTTAAGTGTAATGGAACTGGATTCTCTAGCAAAAACAAACACAATTTTACCTTTTTCCCCCTCGCAGACTGTAGTACTGAAAAGTGGTGTCAAGAGTATTTTCTGAACTGCTCTGCACTAAGAATGGCGGAAGCTATCAGAGCTGAATTGGATGACATTATGAAACGAATTGAACTCCCAATTTCAGCACCTGCTTTTGGATTGAAAGAAAATGTACTGAGGATAAAGAAAGCACTCTTGTCTGGTTACTTTATGCAAGTAAGGAAACCAAATGGATAGTTTCATCTAGGTTTATTAATGTTACGGAAAAGTTTAATTTAATCAAAATACTTTGCTTTCATTTGTATTGACATAATAATGCTCTGCCCCTTTGATTCCTATCCCCCAATTTGTTTTAATTCTATAGCTTACTCTTCAGTCCTCTTACAATTCATTTAAAGCTGTAAAATTAATTTGTGTAGTCATTTGACTACAACAGAACCATTCTTGGATCGTATTTTGGTATTTAATGGATAACTGAATGCAGTTAATACACTGCAGTAGGCTTAAGTCCAGGTAAATTACATGTCATTTCTTGACTTTTCATGTTCTAGATAGCTCGTGATGTTGATGGTGCTGGAAACTATTTAATGTTGTCACACAGGCAAGTAGCCCAGCTTCACCCTCTGTCAATATACTACAACACTGCAAGGATCCCAGAGTGGGTTGTGTTCCATGAATTCAGTATTGCTGAAAACAACTCTCTAAAAATCATCTCAGCGATATCACCTGATCTGTGAGTAAGAGGAAGTTGGAATTTAGGTTTTCATTCATGTTTATAGCATACAACTTCCATTTAAGAGCACAACCCAACATCTCACATCTTGCTTCCTGGGGAAACTGGAGAGACAGGAGAGGTGGGTGATCTCTGCCTTTAGCTTCCAGCAGTAACATACGTGTGTGTGTGTGTGTGTGTGTGTGTGTGTGTGTGTTTAAGCTGGCATCCCACCACCCACATCAATACTGTCAGTGTTGAAAGGTCTCCTAGCACTTTTCTTATTTTAAGCGGGTTATGACCACAGGGAACTGCCTTATATTGAGTTAGACTATTAGTCCATCTAGGTCAGTGTTGTCAGTGCAGACTGTGTTCCATACAAGTGTCTTTCTTAGTTCTACCTGGAGATGCCCTGTATTTCATGTGGGATTTTCTGCATACAAAGTGTGTGCTCTAACATTTCTGCAGAGTTTGGATATTTGGTAGCTACCTGTTCCATAATTTTGATTTGGTGGAAATCGTATGACTCGTGCTGAAAGTTATTTTATGGGAGGTATTTCAAATATCATTAGGATACTTTCACACTGAAATATAGAAATCCAACTGACAATCTCATGGAAGTGTATAACAGATCTGTCAGCATTCTGAAAGTATATTAAGGGAGGCAAGGAAGTGAAATGTTTTAAAGTTTTTAAATCTCACCATTTCACAACTAATTTTATCTGCAGGGCTAGCATGATCCTATGATCCAAATAAATGCAGAATCAATGCAGAATGGATTTGCTCATTTTGGGCCCATCAGCCCAAGCTATGCTCCTAGTCTCCCATTCAAGCAAAATCCCAGTAATGAAGTACTACCTGACAAGCTCCACATTAGTTGTCCAGAAATAGCCATTGAGCAAATCATTTTAACTTCACTGTTTGCTTGGTGGCATAGATAAATAACTGTTTTTTAAAAGGGCCTTACAAGAGGAAACAAAGTGCAGGCTATAGTCACATGTTCTCATTGACTTCATACTGAAAATTTGTTTCTGTGCAGATGTTTTGAGCTTGCAGCTCAGCATGGATGAACTTCAGAAGTGCTTTCTATTAAATAAATAAGTACATTTTGGTTAAAAGCATTTCACTTACTGAACCATGGATAAGGGAGTAAAGTTTTAATTAGAAATTTAAAAATGAAATGTTTAGCCTTCAGCTATTTCAGTCCTATGTCACGACTTGGTCTGATGCATCTGCTCAAGCAGGTAGTAAGTTCAAATTGATACAATGCAATCCCCCTTTTAGTAAGATAGACTGAAGAATATGGGTGATAGACAATGTTAAGACTAGTATGAAATTAATGGACAAGTTAACTCTGAGCATATCTATTCCTCTGTGTCCTGGCACACAGAACCAATACACAGATGTGAAATCAAAGTTAAACAAAATTCATGTTATACATTGAATCAGGAGCACTAATGAACAACTAATAATTCCGCACATGAGTGGCTAGTGATGACTGAATTTATTTGAAATGCTATAATGCACATAGTAGCAGGAAACCATTCTTTTTCCCCAAACTACTAAAATATATAAAAATTGTGCCCTTCTACAGCTTCCCTAAATTTAAATAGGTAATGCATTGAAGCTTCAGGTAGAATTTGCAAAGAGTATACTCATATCCAGGACTATGTTATATTTTGATTGCAGTTTGCAGCACCTGGAAACCAACTACTACCACTCCAAGGACAAACGGAACATATTAATTTGTAAAGAAACTGTATAATCTTATATGTACACTTTACCTGGAATATATAATTTGGAACCGATTCCAGCTATGCAGCTCTATATTTAATGCATCAAAACGTTCCTGACTGTAAGCATTTGCTGCATGAGTCATAAAACAGTCATAGAAAATATTGAAAAATTGTCTTCTTAAAAAAAATATACCCTCACTTGTTTATTCTGTTTCTTAACAGATTTGTGGAGCTGGCACCTCAATACTATTTTAGTAATCTGCCTGCCAGTGAGAGCAAGGCTATTCTGCAGGAAGAAATCAATCATTTATCACCCATTTCAACAACAGGCAAGGAAGAAAAAACAAACAGCAAAGATAAAGAATATAAAAAATATCCTGAAACACCTGCCGAACAGCGATGCATTATTCAATAAGTTTGCTATCCCAAACTGTGTTGAAGTATATAACCTCTATGTACAATATATTCCCAACACCAGCTTTTATATGACATGAGAAATGATTTTAAAACAGAACAAAATCGCAGGAGTTTTTTGTTATTATCTTTGACAACATGGAAACAACCTACAGTTAGTTAGAAAAGTGTTCAACAATTATTAAATGATTACTGTTTTGAGGGGGGTTTTATTGCACTTGTAATCACGGATGTTTCAAAATGGCAATTCTCTGCCAATAAGAACAAGTTGTGTAGGTGATGTACTTTATGAGAATATAAAGGAGATCCTGAAATAATTCAGAATTGGTATGGAAAATTTCTAGACACCACTGTAAAGTCGAATAACTTTTACAGGGTGACTTCACAAAACCGTTAGCTCAGAGAATGGTTCAGACAGAAAGATATTCTTTGAGTTTATCCATGATGGCATTCATCCTGTCAGCAGGGATTACCATCACAGTTCGTAAAGGTTTCATGGGTACATCTTCAAAAGACCATCTGCCTCCCAAACATGAGTCGCTTTCCTCTTCTACTGAGTAACTGAACTTCAGAAGCGATTTCTAAAACAAAATAAGCAAACTCATTAAAAGCATTTGAATTGCCGTATTTCTGCTTCCTTTTAAAAAAGAATTAAGAATACTTATATAACTTAGACTGTCTACAAAGGAAGGCCAGGTAAAGTCATTTTAATAAGACACAGTGGTAACCGAAGATTTGATGTCCTGTTATGGAACTTGGTGTGCAATGTTTCATAAACTTGCATACCAAATTTAGACTTGCTTGAATGCTTCTACATAGTATGCAGAGACAAATGCTGAAAAAGGTCACTGCACACCCTAAAGAGACTCTGGAAACATATAATGAACCAGTAGGCTGAACCAAGGGAAAATAGCATCATGTTAAGATGTAGCCTTGGACAACTCTTTATTTTTCAGATAATTCCTATATTCTGTTTTAAAAGCACATGGTATGCCTACCTGATCATGCAAATAAATAGGATGCATGTAAATTATATTATCTATTCATGATGTCAATTTTAAAGTGTTCTAAACCACATTTTGGTTTTCAGAAAGTATTGTGGCAAGGACTGATACAATGTCATGAGAAGTTTAAAAACATGAGAAATCAATATATAAATGTACAGATATGGTGGCAACCCCTGAAAACTGGAACATACAAAGAAAACTGCATCTTCAAATCTCTCTACAAGCAGGACTAATTATTATTTTTTTAAAAAATCAGGCATTGCAATTCTCTTTATCTTTTATGTATAGACTGCCTTTCCATTTACGTGATGTGCTCAAAGCACTTTACAGCAATGTACAATATGGCCATGAACTTATTATGTCTGGTCTGCTTGAATATAACTGCAGTGCTAGGCTAGGCTAATCTGGGATATGCCTGGGGAGAAAAGAGTATCTTTGTATAAACAATAGGTTGAACTATTGAATGTGTCTACAAGTGCTTCCGGGGCTAAAAGTATATTATCTGAAATTTGGCAGATCATCAGGCAATTAATGAAAAACACTACTCCCTGTATTAAGTCAAGTGGGACACTGCATGCAAATAATGAGGAAGTTTAAAAGGGTAGGGAGAGGATGGGGCAGGGAAGCATTGCAAAAAAAAAAAAAAAAAAGCCCAATAGCTGCCACCCCTCAAATCAACACAGGCAAGATCTGCACACAGAAATATCCCTGACAGCAGATTGCAGCACCCAAGCTATACTTCTACTAGCCAGACACAAGCTCTCGTGACTAGGGTTGGCAAAACCAAATTCATTCCCCATTCAGCCCCAAGGACAGCTTCAATGCAGGCCATTCCGAGCAAAGCTGCTGCTGTAGTAGTGGTGGCAAATGAACCTGGAGCTGATTCCATTGAATCAGGATGCATGAACTGGGGTGCAAGAGCAATGGAGATCTTTCGTCTTTGTTTTCCCTGCCCCCTTTCCACCACTCTGGGCATTATCTATGCTGAACAATTTGCCTTGACCATGTTCAATAGCTGCTACACGCTAGAAAGAAAAACAGCCTCAAATCTTTTTGGTTCCCCGGTATACATCAAAATACACCAAAAAAGTTGAGCAACAACAACGAAGTCTCACCTCATAAAAGAATTCTTCCTCAGCATTTGAAAACATCAGTTCTTCTTTCTGGCGGCTGCTGCTTCCCTTTTTTCTGATATTACTCTTCTTATTAGTAAAAGTTTTGCTAATTAGAAGATAGAAGTAGCATTTTCCACAAGGTTTGTTTGTTTTTTGAGCTTCAATTAGTTCTTTCCTAGAAATAAACACATATTTACACCAAAAAATTATTCATGCTTCAGTCAAACCCATGCACAACTGCAGGAAAGATCAATCGGAAAACATTTCTATTGTGTCCAGACCTCACTCAAGAGAGTCACATATTTTCAGCCCAATCCTCAAATAAAGATGCCTGCTTTGCCACAACAGTGCTTTCTCATGTGCCAACACAATCCCCAGAAGTGTGCATAAACACACTGTTCCACCATCCCTTAAGAGGTGAGTGAAAACATTCTGAGCAACAAATGCTCCTGCTGTTGTTAGAATATAAAAAGAAACTTTAGGATTATGCATCTTTTTCTCCCTCGTCTTCTTCACACTGCCTCTCTTCATCTCACTCCACAGCAAAAAAGCTGCTTCGTTGAAACTGAAGACTTTTCCTTCATGAGCCCTGCAGACCTATGGTCCCCCAGGGGAATTCATAATCTGCTTAGGGGAATAATTGTGAAATTAAATATTTCTATTCCACTCTCTTTTTACATGTAAGGGCATTAAGGAAGATTACCTAATGTTCCAGAAGAAAAGCTGGCGGTTACTGGGCAAAACACTGGCCTAGTTCACCCAACATGCTAAGTCAAATTCTGGCTTAGCTAGACCACAAACGCCTGGAGAGAGGTTTGCAGCAACTCTACTAAGCAAGGTTTAATTTAGTATATGGCCCAAACTGTGGTGAAGCTCTCTCTACACGAACCAAAGCTGTGGGCACTTCCAGTTCTATAAACCATAGCTTACTGGACCAGGAATATGTCTGTTCTACACTCCTTGCTCCCAGTTTTTATGAATATTTAATATTCCTTAAATCCAGTGTTCTGTGATGTCTGAATCAGGAAACTGATGTAACAACAAAACAAACAAGGTCATGAAACCAGGGGGAAAGTGCAAATTATTCTACTGCCAGAACTATTTAAAATCGTTTCAAACAACTAAAGAGTCTTCTCTGAATTCTTGGCATCAGCTTTGCTAAAACTGTTTACTGATCTCTGGTTATGCATCTCACTTATCAGCCTTAATTCTTAAAATAAATATCCAGTGTTTAGTCAAGTTCAGAAATTTAAACAAATTTCTGTAACCAATCTGCCAGGAATAGAAACCACTATAATAAATGGTTAGAATGTAGCTGTTTTTAGTGAGTGTTCTCCAAGCGAGAGCACAACTCTCAAAACAATTCACAGAACACATTTGTCTGGATCCAATATATTGCAGAGTAATTCTAAGTGGCTTTTTTCATCCCTTACAAGTGCTTTCACATATGAGTAAAACTCACCTATACACAATATGTGAAATATTGAATGTTTGCACCAAAGGCCACTTTAAGAGATCAATACTAAAAATGTTGGTTTCTGCTTCTCGGGGGACCTTTTTCTTCCCACTCTACACATTTCCATTTAAATAAGATTTCAGAGGTCATCCGAGGATAAAAAAAATAAAATTCTGTTCAAAAATGGTTTTGGAAAAGCTCTTACTGCAGTTGCTGGTGCATGGGCAGAGCGATCTGGGGAGGTACATTAATGAATCTTTCACTTAGTAGGAAGCCCACAGGCTTGGTGGTGTCACTTAGGAGCTTATCCAGCTGTTCAACCATACTCTGTTCACAGTTCTTCTCACACTGGCTTAAAACCAGCTCTTTAATTTGTTCAGCACATTCGGTACCCTAGGAATCAAAGGATAGATTTTCTTTGCATTACAGAATAATTATTTACATAAGGCAACTTGAAAAGAGAGCTTCTGGGCATTGTTTTACAGGACTCTGGGAAATTTCTTGCTGTGACTTTTAATGATTTGTAGGAATTTCTTTTTAGATTATTTAATCAACGCTCCAACGAATGCATGTAGGGGAGCTTTAATTCGGAAAGGATGACAAAAACGGTAACCAAGCATTAGCATTCCACTCTTGCTTAGGGCCACAGACCCAGCCACATGACTAAAAGAATACTTTATAAAATTATATGAAGTACTCAGCATAAATGGCCTAATAAAGCAAATGAAAGTGATAAATCAATGCATTAAAACATTGGGTTATAATTTTGTTCAAGCAATGCAAACAACAGGAAACTACAACTGGATCCTACTGAGTTTTTAAATGTTTATTGAGGAACACCATTCTAGTACCAACATGATCTTTCCTTACAGAAATAATCTTCAATTAAACAATTATTTCCACAGCTCTTAAGTATGACTGCACTCATCCAGAAAGAGACTGAACAGATATTAGGTGATATCCAATGTTAAATCCATTTATTTCAGTGAATCTATTCCAAGTATGACTTAGTTTGCTATTGCCTACTAGCACCATCGGTGACGTTCTAAAACAGTGTAATGGCTCATGCAGGTCTTATTGCAAAGCCAAATTAAAGTCAACCACTGGGACTATTTTTGTTGATTTTGCACTTTTATTCTTTTCACTTTTCCTATTTGCATATGTTCCACTTCGTTAGTTTCCGGGGGTGTAAATATCTATATTAATCTAACATCCTTCAAAGGATTCTTAAAGTTGCATAAATTATTTTTAAAAAATATATATATTGTCATTTCAATATTTAAATAACCTGGATAGTCACACAGCCAGACACATGAAGTGTCACGTCAAACTGATCCCTCCAAAAGTTTTCACATGCCATTTCAACAGACACCTAGACTCTCTTAATTCTTTTCATTCATGCAGGAAGAGAGCACAGAAGGTGAAATAATGTTTCCATAATTTTCAAACCAGAAAAATTACTCACTTTCCTTAACATTACATTACATTTCCTTAACATTACTACAAATGGCATTAGGGGTCATTGGCAGTACCCCCACAAGTTTTAAAACCTGTTTAAAAACCTGTTTTGTTTATACAAAACTTACTAACATGGTCAACGCAACCTCAACTGCATCTGCACATTTTTGCAAGCAACGTACACCTTCACTTCAGCAGATGGCTAGACTTAATGGCAACTCTTAATTAAGAAGCTTTGGGTGATCACATTTCTCTGTTTACAGAAAGATCTTTGCAAAATG